AGAAGCCATAGCACCTCAAATAATTTTATTTCACTGAACACCATTGTATGAAAAATACAAACATTGCATATCATAGGGTTTGAGATCACTGCAACACCGCAAGGTGGGATTTTATTCACTGCATCACTGCATTAGAAAAGTAGTCAGCTGTTGCAACACCACAAAGTCTTACCCAGCACGTCCCTCTCCATGAGTACATGCATGCATGCATGCGTGCATACAATGTAGATACATACATACATACATACAAATACTTTATTTATTCTTGAATTTTAGGTAGCTAAAATCAGATAATATCTTCAAGAACATAAACAAAACAGAATACAATACTTATACCATAAATCTGCTAAAAATGAGTGCTTCCAATTCTTTAGTTTTGCATCACTTAATGTTGTGATTGTACCACTTTCTCTTCCAGTTACGAGTAAAGCGGAAACCATCTTGTGAGTCGCCCGCACACATCCCCCCCCCCTCCCCCTGCACTCTTCATTCACATTTGCCACATGTAAATGATGGTACACTTCTTCCAATAGGCCAGTTTTGATACTGTTCAGTAACTTAAAATTCTGATGTGGTTCCTAGGCTTGGGGGAGTGAAACATTTTAAGAAAGTCAGCATCAAGGTTGAAGGATGAATAATTAATTTCCTTTGTTTTGCTCCCCCAAGCCTAATTTTGATAAATAAAAAAAGGGCCTATTCTCTGATTTTCAAGGGTAAAATACTGGTGACTTTGCATTTAAGTTTTGGTAAAACACATATTGGGACTCAAGGACTTGTAAATTTCTTCCAAACTCCCTCAGAGATCTTACTTGACATCTCCAGATACACATTTCATGGGATCATGTGTACTAATGGCATCCACGGTCGAGTGTTGATTAATACCCTTAATCAAAACTTGATCAACATCTCAGTCAAAAGTTGGTCGTGAGTTGATTGATACATATGAGTCAGTCGACACTCAGGTGTATATCAACCAACACTCGATCCAGTGTCAATCAGGTGTCAATCGACATGCTGATAGAGTGTCGACTGAGTATTGATTGAATGTTGCTTGAAGGTCAATTGAGGGTATTGCTCGACCCACGACCGCAGATGTGCACATGATTCTCCATGGAAAACTAAAATGCCATAATTTGAATTCTTCTAAAACATTGAGCTCTCAAGTTTGATCAGTAAAACATATCACCAGAGACATTACAAACGTATCTTGAGTTCACAAACTTTTAACAGATTTAAAAATTAAGATTGTGCCAAAATTATGTGGCATTTGGATTCCTATACAAACATTACGTTTCATTCCATGTTTTCACTCTCATGGAAATCCAAAGATACATGTAAATAACTTAAGTAAAATTCTTTCTTTCTCTTAAAAAGATGCCAACTATGGATTCCAAAAAAGCAAGGAATTGCTTGAGCTTGATGACGACAAAAACCACCCACTCCATTCATCGCATGGTGTGGAAACAGCATCCTCTAATGTACTTGAAAATGAGCTTGCCATTCCAACAACTTGTGCAGGTTCAACAAACAATAAAAACTTCCTGCAGAGTGTGTCTGCAGGGTTTTGTGAGTCAGGCCAGACTAGTTCAGATCAAGATTGCTTTATTGTGGATGGCAATATAGAGGAACAAATTTCTTCCCATTTCCAACATAACAGTGCCATGCACCACGAAGAGGAAATGGAGATGACATTCCCACGCTCTGTGTATGGGGAAATTGGAGATAAAGATGTTGATTCCTTTCATAGCGAAGAAGGTACATGTGACTGTATTTTGTTTTGATATCTTTCAAAAGGTGCAGCAAACTACAGAATGTGAATTCAAAACAAGGGAGAATAGTTACTTATTGAGTGAGTGGGCTGGGTATTATTTGATTCAAGGTCAAGAAGTATGGACCAAGCATAGTGAAGTCCATGAGTCCTGACTGAGAGCCAAGTATTTTCCTGTTCCGACTAACCTCGTTTAGTCAGTAACCATTTTAACATATCACGGTAACCACTTTTTTTGTGAAACGAGGGCATGCGCATGGCATTTCTAGTGGGGACATACGTATTTTCTTGTAGGGTCATACGCATTTAATTTTTCAGACCCTATTACTTCAACTCATACGACCTCCATACAGGACCTTTTTTCTAATGGTTGTCCAAGTATATTTAATAGCTTGCAAGGTGGTAGGGGTCATAAGATAATAGAGTTTATTAAACTTATTTAATAGTTTTCTTGACTGAAAAATACTTCAAAAGTGAATTGCCCTTTGAAATTCTGTTGTGAAATAAGAACATACATCCAAGTTGATCCTTTTTGGATCACTTAGTCTTGTATAATTTTGGAGATTTCCTTTGTAACAGCTTTGTCCTTTATTACAGGTGAAGTGAGTCACTTAGAAAGAGGACAGATACATGAAAGAATCAAGCCAGATTTCAATCTGATCAATGTCGATGACAGAGTTGTTCCATTGGAACTGGATCCTTTACACTCACCTAATGATCCTGATCTGGTTCAATGCTCGTCATCAGCATTGCAAAGTGACCATCAGCAACCTGACGCACGGGAAACTCCTGCTTCATCAAGTAAGCAAGGGGTATGCATGTGAAGTAAATGGGGGGTGTGATAAAGTCTGCATACGAGCTAAGTGGCTCATCAGGCATGAGGTTATCCCAGTTTCTGTAGCATGAAGAGACTAGGAGTATTCTACTCCCCCCTGGATGGGATGCTAGTTCTTCACAGGGTTGCCCCCAGCATTAAATTTGCCACTACTCATTTGTACACCTGGGTGGAGAGAGAGACTGTGAGAGTAAATGTATTTTGCCTAAGAACACAACAAAATGTCCCCAGTTAGGGCTCGAACCCAGACCACTTGATCTGGAGTCAAACTGCATTAACCATGAGGCCACCAAAGTAGAAGTGATTAACATGGCTGTTTGATTTTACATTTTTAATTATCATTTTTTGCTGTGTTGCAGTTGAAAATTCCAATATGAACAAAGGATCTCATGAAATGTCTGCAAACAAGGCACAAGAAATAAACTCAGATCCACAAGGCTGTGAGAATCATATAACCAATGCTGCATTACTAGAGGAACAGGGTAAAAATATGAGGGAAATAACCATCCAGGTTTACCCGGGCCATAACCAGGCCATTTCCCTAGTTACAAACGGAATCCTTACCACTGATGTCACTACCTTTTCTACACAAGTTCCTGCAATATTAACAGAAGGTGATGCAGAAGATAATGAAACACAGTATCAAGTTGTTACGACCAGTTCTGTGCTCAATCAGGCAGATGGGAGTGCTGCACTGGATGTGTTAACTTCATCATCAGACTTTGGCAGGAATGTCATTTTGACCGAGCAGCAACAAGTTTTGCTAAGTGGTATGCTTGTTCCTGGCGTCACTGCTAATCAAGCAATTCACATAAACATGACACAGGAGGGTGGTGCATGTATAGACATGGATGAGATTCCACAGGGAGACCAGGTTTAAAAACTTTTATTTACATGTTATAGTTATACACGCAGGTCCAATTTAGCTAAAGCTGGTCTAAATAAAGGCCTTACCTAGTTCAGTCACAGTTTCAAACTATTTAAAACTAACTGTCTTTACTAAAAGAACAATAATTACGATGTATGATACCTACCTAATGAGCACTACATGTTACGACAATTTTTAATCATTTCTAGTAGTCCTGGTAACCAGAAAGTGACATACATGTAATAGTTCCACTAAAAAGTTTAAAAATGTGGGGCTTCTAAAAACTTGCAATTTAGTAAAACTTTTAATTAGGAATGTAGTGAAAAAAAACAACAACAAACAAACAAACAAAATGAAATACAAAAAAAGAAGAAAGAGAATATAATAATATTCCCAAAAGGGAAAGCACGAATGGGACAAGAGTACATGTACCCATGCAAGGCGCTTCCAAGAATTATATATTATATATATAAACATAAGCTATTTACGAGGCATGTAGTATTAAAAATAGTAATAAAAAGCCATTTACAATAATATTAAAACTATAAGAAAAAAAATTAGTTTCTATGGCATGTGCAGGAACAGTCCCTAACTGAAAACCAGGTACACTAGAAAAACAGCAGAAGGGAGCAACTGAACAAAGTAAATTCCATAACTTGACAATCTAATTGAAATGAGAAGCTTGAAATGTAGTAGTTTGACAAAAATTAGGTTTTGCATAGTACTGGCGTTTTGAGTAAAACATGAACACCCGTGACTGTCCAGGAGGTGAAGAAGTGTCTATTAAGCAAATATCCTACCCAGTGTATAATAAGACCACAAAGCATTTTTACTCACAGATACTGATTGTTTTGTTCTTCGCTCATAGGGGGATGAAGAGTGTGCAGATGGAAAAGGCCATGTGTGTCCTCACCCTGATTGCAATAAAGTATGTTCAAAAGCCTACAAACTGAAGCTGCACATGCTGACACACACGGGAGAGAGACCTTACAAGGTATGTTGTGTGAGCTACTGATTCCCTGGAGCAAAGTCATTCCATGAGATCCAATCTTTCTCTCTCTCTCTCTCTTTTTTTTTTTCAAGAAAATTTACCTTACTTTACCAAGTGTTTGGAAAGTGTTTGCCATTATGACTCACTTCCTTTACTCATATTTGAGGCATTGCTTTGAGGACGATTGAGAGTTAGGACATTGATTTTTTGTCTGTTTAATTTTTGTTTTACTCCTAAACTTAATTCTATTAAATTTTAGATCTTTTTATTATTTTTTTTCCTCTTCTTCTTCTTTTTAGATTTAGGGCTGTGCCTCGCATGGGATACTTTGCCGTTTGTGCAATCCCTTTTGGTCTTTGCATTTTCAATTTTTTTTGTTGTTGTTGTTTAAAAAAAAAAGAAAAACCAAATTTGCTCAGAGGTGTTGGTACAATCAAGTCCAGTGTCTCTATGGTATTATGTCATTGATAATGTTATTTTTATTTAACACCACATAATCAAGTTGTATGTATTCTAAGTGAGAAATTGGAATTGAAAGACTTATGTCATTTCAGTGTCCACATGAAGGGTGTGAGTGGGCATTTACTACAGCCTATAAATTAAAGAGACATGCCAGGGGTCATACTGGAGAAAAACCTTACCTGGTGAGTTATGCTACTTGCGTTTACTGTTGTCACTCAATAAAGCCTATGAAGTAGAGAAAGCTGTATGTGCTACTTCATGTACATGATAAAAGCATTGTGTGTGTGCCTAGCGTTTTGCCTCCGGTTTCATCTATACCCAGTTTGTGTTGTAACACTTGACATTTCTCCAGGGTATCACTAGTGTTTTAGATTTTTGTTTTGCAAATTTGTAGTATTTTGTAGTCTATCCAAACAGTTCTTTACTACTTTGGGTTTCACATTGGCAAAAATTACTGCTTTAAGTTGCACATTAGTGAAAGTTAGTGATTTAGAATACATGTTTGCATATTAGGTATCAAACAAGCTGACGACAGCCAAGTTGTGTGACTTTCATTTTGATAGTGCACTCATGAAGGATGTGGCAAATGCTTTACCACTGCTTACAACTTAAAAACACATTTCAATGCACACTACCGGGCAGACACCCACATTTGCAGATACGAAGGCTGCGGCAAAACTTTCCCCACCGCACACAAGTTAAAAGTACATGAGAGGAGACATCAGGCTGACCGGAAAGCATACAAATGCGAGATAGAGGGGTGCGGCAAAGTGTTCTCTGCTCCTGGAACTTTGACATCTCACATTCGGACTCACAGCAGTGAAAAACCTCATGCATGTCCTGTTGATGGATGTGAGAAGCGATTTACCAAAGCATCCAAGTTAAAGTTACATCTAAGATCTCACACAGGGGAGCGACCATTTCATTGTGAAATTGAGGTGTGGTACAAAACAGTTCTTACCTTTTTTTGCTCAATGTTTGTTATTGCAGCTAATTATATGTACAGCTGTACAGTGTAGTAACAGGATTTTGATTTTACTGGCTACCAGGAGGATGACATTTATTTTTCTGTAATGTACTTTTAATACTAATGCATTTAGCTCAACATGATGGTAACCAGCTCAAAAGCCAATGGCTTCTCTTGTTACCAGGCACATATATTTTTAGTCTTTTCCCTAATCAGATGTTACAAATAATTCTCTTTAGTTATTATTTTACATGTACCATAATACTAACTGATGTAAACACTGTAAATAGTGCACAATAAATTAAAGAAATTGAGTTGAGTTGGAGTGGCTTGAGATGTGCACAAAAAAAATTGTTCAATTTGTACTTGACATTAAAGATTGAAATTGGCAAGTTAGCTAGTACTACTGTAACTTTCCATCTCTATAAAAGTACATTGAGTCTTTTGTCAAGACTAACAGAATTGGCTCACTATTAGTAAATACTTGATTCTGCGAGATCAGTCTACATGTAGCAGGTTTCCCCAGTATTTTCATTTCCAAGACTCAAGAGGGTGATCAGCTTTTGAGAAAGATGCAACCACAGTTCATGGGCACCAGGCGAAGAAAAGATCTTAGCTGAAAATTCTTTAAAGGATTCAAACCCAAATCAATATAATAATTGTAAAGAAAAATAAACCACATTTATTTATGATTTAAGAGGAAGGTTTAGCTGGTTTTCATGCAGGTCCTCTATCCTGGTTGAATTGGAATTTGGAGTGTTGGTTTTTGTGGAGCGAGGAAAACCAGAGAACCCAGAGGAAAAGCCTT